CTCCCATTCAATACCCCACATGGCTCCCTTTTATACCAATTTCTGGGGCCAACACCCCCACCTAGGGGTGCAGCAGCGATCTGGCTGCTTCCCTCCAATTCGGTAATGTGACACTTGACACCAACAGACAATGCTGCCTTTGTTTCATGAATCAGCTGGCTCTGAAGGCCCTGTGTGGATAGACTTCGGGGTGAGCTTTTTTTTCTTCAGCATCCAGCGCCTTGAAGGTTGATGTGTTTAATTTTCCAAACACCAAAGCAGTGTTTGGTGTGTGCCTTCATGTTGGATTCACTCCCTGCCCCGCAGACCTGAATGCTGTAACGCATCTCTCCCCTTTCTTCACACCCGTGTTCCCCACATGGTGTTCTGCAGACCCCCGGAGTAAAATGAGGGTTCCGCGAGAATATTCCATTACAATCACATTTTGGCTACGTCTAGTCTGCACGCCTTTTTCGACACAGGCTTTTTCGACACCATCTTTTGAAAAAGCCTGTCGAAAAAGAGCGTTTAGAAAACAAGAAGAGTTTTCGAAAAAGCGTCTCGCGAACTGTGACGTAGTGGGGGTACTTGCTGGGCTGTGGTGACCCCTGCTGTCTGGAGCAAGACCCAGCAGGGAAAACCTCACTAGGCCAAGGTAATGCCAAACTTGTTGAACCAGTGGCCAGACACCCCCCCATGGAGAGGAACAAAGGAAGGTGGAATGCTGCCCTGACTGGGGGGCAGGGCTGGAAGTTAGTTAGTTGGTGGCTGGCTGTCTGTGAGCATGGAGGAGACAGCCTAGGGAGAGGAGCTGGAGTTTAGGGGCCCTGTCTCCCCCATCTCAAGGGGGCCTGAGGCATCCTAGCCCAGCTCTGTGACCAGACTACATCTGTGCTGCGCTGTATCCTGGAGAGGCAATAAACTTCCTCTATTCCACCGGCTGGTGCAGTCTGTTTGTGCCATTTCGGGGTGCAGGAGACGGGGGACCCCAACGCGCCATCACAAGTGGGTCTAGCATTCGATTTAGTGGGTCTGAGCCGGTACTCCTTGCAGTCATGAGGAGTAAGGGAAGTCAATGGGCGTGTTTTCTCTCATCGACTTCCCACTGTGAAGACGGCACCAAGCTTGGCTTAAGTTATGTTGACTCCAGCTACGTTATTTATGTAGCTGGAGTTGCGTACCTTAAGCCGACCTTCTGGGTCTAGTATAGACCTGGCCTCAGACTGGTTTTTAACTCAAATCTGACTAGTAATAGGCAATGACATCACCTGTTTGTTAAATGGTGTGAAGAGTAGACTCTTAACGGGTTCTTGCCTTTAAGAATTCCTGCCTGCCTACATTGGAGCCAATCTACATGGGTGTAAGCACTGCTGAGTTTAGCCCATTTGTAAGTATACCAGTCAGATACTTATACATGTTTTGTTTAATTTTGGATATTGTTTATTAGTACAGCTATGATTCTACCAGGGAGACCATGGAATCCATGACTTCCAGAGATCTCCATGACTTCAGCCCTTGGTGGGAGGACTATGAGGTCCTATGAGGTCCCCCCACCCCCACTGCCTGCCATGGCTTAGAGCTTGAGAGTGTAACCCACACACCCACTGGGTGTGGTGCACCATCCCATGTAGCGGCTCGTGCATTAAGTGCAAGAGGTCCCAGGTTCAGTTCCACCAGTCAGCCTTATACAAAGACCTAGCAGCACCCCATTTTGTGGCACATATTTTTAGTCACAGTCAGGGACTGGTGTAACAGGGTCAGCACTCACCTCACAAGAGCATCCCCGTTTGGCCAAGTGCACGTTCCTGCTCTCTGTCCGTCTTAAAAGCCTTGCAACTACTCTGGCCAAGTCACACTCTTTGTGCCATCACAGACCACTTCTGGGGTACACCTCTAACAGGGGACCATCCCGGTGCCTTCTGTAGAGTGTGTCTCAGTTTGTTGCCTCACTCTGAACAAGAGTGGTGCCTCCAGGGCTTCCCCTTCTGGAGAAGACAACTCCTTTGCCCTTAGCTCAGGGCTTTCCTTCAAATCCATCCGTCTCTCAACAACTCTCCACTGGAAGCTGTCTCTGGTTCTGCCAACCAGTCACCCCGACCTCCTCTCTTACTGAACTGCCTCGAGTACTGCCGCTTCTTTTATAGTCCCTCCTGGCTGCTGATTGGCTGGTTCCTCCACAGCCACTCTAGCTTGCTGGGAGGACTGCTCTATGGCCCTTCTCTGGCCTCAGGGCTTGGTCCTCCCCATCACAACAGGTAACAGGCAATAAAGGAAAAATTCACGGAAGCCCCCGTGACTGATACTAAAAATATGCATGACAAAATCTTAACCTTACTTATTGGCGAGGCATGTTGAGAGCAATTTCCCATGGTACATTTGCACCATTTGGCCCTTGGAGTTAACAAAGGAATTTGTGGTTACATTAGTGTTTGGTGGGTCCCCATATTAATATTAATAACCTCAAATATTATTAATAATTCTGACAATGTCTTTCAAGGAAATCAAGGTATCTCAAAGCAAGGAGGCCTGGCCCTGATGTGCCGTGGTTGGGCAGGCAAAGAGGGGCTGCTATGTCATGCCGAATGACAACTTCCGCGCAGGCTCACACATGCCGTAGCAAGGCCTCTGTCCTGACATGGCAACCGTACCTTGTAGTACACTCCATTGAGGTTGGAGAAGAAGCACTGATGGTACCACCAGCCCCCGTGGGAGATCTCGGCACAGATGTTCCCCGTGTCGGGTGTGCTGAAACTCCGCTTGTTGTGGTACCAGGCAAAGGAGTCCTCCACAGTCCCACTGAAACCATCCACGTGGAGGCGGTAGAAGTTTGCCTCGTCCTCGATGCTGCAAACGAGAGGGAAGAGGCTGGGTTGTCTCCTGGGGGTTTCCACGTCTCCTTTCCAAGCTGGGCTTTGCAAGAGTTATTCTTGCAACGAATCCACCTGCATCCAGTTATCTAGGCTGGGCGGGCCCGCTGGTTCTGCCCCTTGCCAGTTGAGGCCCCAGCCCCCTATCTCTCCCAAAATGGGGTTCGGCACTGTACTAACTCAGGCCCACTTTCTGGAGAGATGGGGTGGGTGACCTGGGATTCTAAAGCCACAGTCAAGGACTCCGGTCCAGGGCTGCTCTGTAGGAAGTCCCTCTAACAACATGGCTCGGCTTCTGTTCACATTTCGTCTCTTGGGCTGAGCTGGAATCTCTTAGATTATTCCCTGGGACAGAGGGGTGGAGTGGGAAATCGGCTTCTCAGCAGACTCACTGGCCTTTTTCCACGGACTTTGTTTTTCCAGTCTACCACCAGTTCATGTTAAGTACCCCAGTCTCTGGGCTTTGTCTGGTTGACCCTTCCTGAATCACCTCTTCTGCAGGATGGGAACGAATGAGAACCCCCACAGTTACATCACCGAGAATGAACGTTTCTAAGTGTTTTAGATCTGGGATGACACTCTACTTAAGTCAATGGGAGTCTTTCCCATGACTCCATTCGGCTTTGGGTCAACTCCATGCTCTAGGGCCAGCTGCATCTCCAGCTTGAAAAGCATGAGTTTCAGGGCATAAATTCACCCCCTACTGTTACGACTACACGGCAGTGGGGAACTGTGATTGCCAACTTAGGCCGGCATAGCACACACACTAGGTGTGCTTGAGCGAGCATCTACTGCCGCGTGGCCATGGCAAGAGTTGCTCGACTGCCAAATACAAGCCCATCAGATATCCTGGGTGCAGATGTAGGCAGCTAGCCCTCCTGCAGCCACAGTGCTGCTCTCAGGTGCTAGCCCATATGTGGCTGCAAATCACACCTTCCCACCAGGGATGTTAAAATGTGGTTAATTGACAAGTTGAGTAGTCGATGGAATTTCCATTGACTACTCGATTAGTCGATAGGCACTTCTGCATTCCTCCGCAGGGGCCCTTGTAGATTTCAAAGGAGGAATGCGGAACTCCTGGTACAGCCCGGAGCCAGCGGGAAGTCCCGCTGACTCCGGGCTGCACATGGGTGCCCGGGGAAACTGGATTCTGGGTTCGGTGTGGCATTTCCCCGGAACCCGGGGTCAACTCATAGAATCATAGGACTGGAAGGGACCTCGAAGAACTTTTCTTTATGCACCCTCTCCACGCCACTCATGCTTTTCATAGAATCATAGAATAATAGGACTGGAAGGGACCTCAAGAGGTCATCGAGTCCAGCCCCCCGCCCTCAAGGCAGGATCAAGCTCTGTCTACACCATCCCTGACAGATGTCTATCTAACCTGTTCTTAAATATCTCCAGAGAGGGAGATTCCACCACCTCCCTTGGCAATTTATTCCAATATTTGACCACCCTGACAGTTAGGAATTTTTTCCTAATGTCCAATCTAAACCTCCCCTGCTGCACTTTAAGCCCATTACTCCTTGTCCTGTCCTCAGAAACCAAGAGGAACAAATTTTCTCCTTCCTCCTTGTGACACCCTTTTAGATATTTGAAAACCGCTATCATGTCCCCCCTTAATCTTCTTTTTTCCAAACTAAACAAGCCCAGTTCATGAAGCCTGGCTTCATAGGTCATGTTCTCTAAACCTTTAATCATTCTTGTTGCTCTTCTCTGTACCCTTTCCAATTTCTCCACATCTTTCTTGAAATGTGGCGCCCAGAACTGGACACAGTACTCCAGCTGAGGCCTAACTAGTGCAGAGTAGAGCGGCAGAATGACTTCACGAGTTTTGCTTACAACACACCTGTTGATACAACCTAGAATCATATTTGCTTTTTTTGCAACAGCATCACACTGTTGACTCATATTCAACTTGTGGTCCACTATGACCCCTAGATCCCTTTCTGCCATGCTCCTTCCTAGACAGTCGCTTCCCATCTTGTATGTATGGAACTGATTGTTCCTTCCTAAGTGGAGCACTTTGCATTTCTCTTTATTAAACCTCATCCTGTTTACCTCTGACCATTTCTCTAACTTGCTAAGGTCATTTTGAATTATGTCCCTATCCTCCAAAGAAGTTGCAACCCCACCCAGTTTGGTATCATCTGCAAACTTAATAAGCGTACTCTCTATCCCAATATCTACATCATTGATGAAGATGTTGAACAGTATGGGTCCCAAAACAGACCCTTGAGGAACTCCACTTGTTATCCCTTTCCAGCAGGATTTAGAACCGTTAACAACAACTCTCTGACTACGGTTATCCAGCCAATTATGCACCCACCTTATCGTGGCCCTATCTAAGTTATATTTGCCTAGTTTATCAATAAGAATATCATGCGAGACCGTATCAAATGCCTTACTAAAGTCTAGGTATATGACATCCACCGCTTCTCCCTTATCCACAAGGCTCGTTATCTTATCAAAGAAAGCTATCAGATTAGTTTGGCATGACTTGTTCTTCACAAACCCATGCTGGCTATTCCCTATCACTTTATTACCTTCCAAGTGTTTGCATATGATTTCCTTAATTACCTGCTCCATTATCTTCCCTGGGACAGACGTTAAACTGACCGGTCTGTAGTTTCCTGGGTTGTTCTTATTCCCCTTTTTATAGATGGGCACAATATTTGCCCTTTTCCAGTCTTCTGGAATCTCCCCTGTCTGCCATGATTTTTCAAAGATCATAGCTAAAGGCTCAGATACCTCCTCTATCAGCTCCTTGAGTATCCTGGGATGCATTTCATCAGGACCTGGTGACTTGCTGACATCTAACTTTCCTAAGTGATTTTTAACTTGTTCTTTGTGTATCCTATCTTCTAAACTTACCCTCTCTCTGCTTGTATTCACTACGTTAGGCACACCTCCAGACTTCTCGGTGAAGACCGAAACAAAGAAGTCATTGAGCATCTCCGCCATTTCCAAGTTCCCTGTTACTGCTTCTCCCTCCTCGCTAAGCAGTGGGCCTACCCTGTCCTTGGTCTTCCTCTTGCTTTTAATGTATTTATAAAAGGTCTTCTTGTTTCCCTTTATGCCTGTAGCTAGTTTGATCTCATTTTGTGCCTTTGCCTTTCTAATCTTGCCCCTGCATTCCCGTGTTGCTTGCCTATATTCATCCTTTGTTAGTTGTCCTAGTTTCCATTTTTTATATGACTCCTTTTTTATTTTGAGATCGTGCAAGATCTCCTTGTTAAGCCAAGCTGGTCTTTTGCCATATTTTCTATCTTTCCTACACAGCGGAATTGTTTGCTTTTGGGCCCTTAACAACGTCCCTTTGAAATACTTCCAACTCTCCTCAGTTGTTTTTCCCTTCAGTCTTGCTTCCCATGGGACCTTACCTACAAGTTCTCTGAGCTTATCAAAATCTGCCTTCCTGAAATCCATTACCTCAATTGTGCTGGTCTCCCTTCTACCTTTCCTTAAGATCATGAACTCTATTATTTCGTGATCACTGTCCCCTATACTGTCTTCCACTTTCAAGTTCTCAACTAGTTCCTCCCTATTTGTTAAAACCAAATCCAGAACAGCTTCTCCTCTGGTAGCTTTTTCAACCTTCTGAAACAGAAAGTTGTCTCCAATGCAGTCCAGAAACTTATTGGATAGCCTGTGCCTCGCTGTGTTAGTTTCCCAACATATGTCTGGATAGTTGAAGTCCCCCATCACCACCAAATCTTGGGCTTTGGATAGTTTTGTTAATTGTTTAAAAAAGGCCTCATCCACCTCTTCCACCTGGCTAGGTGGCCTGTAGTAGACTCCTAGCATGATATCACCCTCGTTTTTTACCCCTTTTAGCTTAACCCAGAGACTCTCTACACAGCTATCTCCTACATTCATCTCCACTTCAGTCCAAGTGTGTACATTTTTAATATACAAGGCAACCCCTCCTCCCTTTTTTCCCTGTCTGTCCTTCCTGAGCAAGCCGTACCCTTCCATACCAACATTCCAATCATGTGTCCCATCCCACCAGGTTTCTGTAATACCAATGATATCATAGTTGTATTTATTGGTTAGCAATTCCAGTTCTTCCTGCTTATTACCCATACTTCTCGCATTTGTATATAGGCATCTAAGATACTGATTTGATCTTGCCTCCCTGTTGTGCCCTGACCCTCCTTTCTCCTTGCCATTATAGGCCATAGTCCCCCCCATTTCCAACCCATCTCCCAGTCCCGCACATTCAGCACTTACCTGTGGGCTTTGCTGACCCTGGCTCACCTGCTGACCCCGGGCTCCACGGAAGTGGTGTTTTAAAGGGCCAGTGCCACACAGCTGAGCTGAAGATTAGCTGTGAGGCGGCTGCACCTTTGAAACGCTGCATTGGGGTTTCAAAGTGGCAGCGCCACACAGCTGATCCCCAGCTCAGTTGTACGTCACTGCCACTTTGAAGTATCCCTTTCTCCCCCCTTTGTTGCCTCTCTCTCATAGAGGCAGCAGGCAGTGGGGGGGGAGGGGAGGAGGGCGGGATCGACTAGTCCTTAACGTTCCTACTTCCCACTGCAATGGAGGCCTCCCAGACTAGGGTAGAGTAGAAGCTTCCCCTTTGGGCCAGTTTCTCTACGCTTGTCCACTAGGAGGATTCTTGCTCCTCCCTGGAATGCCTCTGGGCAGGGGCGGCCCATGAGTATAGGCCGACTCGGCAGTCGCCTAGGGCGCTGCCTTCAACAGGGCACCCGGGGCGCCCGATGATGGCGTCACGCAATTGACGGCGCCGTTGACACCGTGCAGGTGGGGGTGCCGATTGCGCATTCTGCCTGGGGCGCCAGCTGCCGCAGCCCGCCTCGGGCCGCCCCTGCCTCTGGGGCAAAAACAGGAGGCCGGTGCGGATTGCTGTGGATTGATCCATTGGGCAATTGCTGTGAGTTTCTACAGAATGTTCCAGAGCAACAGGGCACACACCTGATCATAGACTCACAGAATCCCAGGGCTGGAAGAGACCTCAGGAGTCATCGAGTCCAGCCCCCTGCCCAACGCAGGACCAACCCCAATTCAATCAACTCAGCCCTGGCAGGGATGTGATCAGAGAGTGAGGCCTGAACTTCCTGCCTGGCACTTGTGGGAGTCGAGCAAATAGACCAGGAATGAATCCTAACGTGGGCCTAATCCCACAAGCTTTCTGGGCTCAGAACTTCTACTGATTAAAGTGGGATTTCCAGGCGCTAAGGCCAGCAGGACTTGGCTCTTTGCCGACAGCAGGAACCCGGGGAAGGACCCCATGCCCCCTTACCTGAAGATCTGGTAGAAGGCATGCTTGTGCTTGTTGTTCCAATCTTCCAAATCAATGCGGAGCGAGTAGTCCCCTTGGTTCGTCATCTTGTGAATGTTCTCGTTGCCTAGCCAGAACTCACTGTTTAAATCCCCAAAGCCGTCTTTGTATTCGTTCCACGTCCGGGTGAAGTTGACCGAGCCATCCTGCCGTCGCTGGATGACGGTCCAACCTCCGCCTGCCAGTGGGAGAAAGGGGAAGCTAATCTGAGTATCCCACGAGCGTTATTTGTGATGAACCCAACATCCTCCTGGACCAGAAACGTAACTCAATACTGCCTCCTCCTGAAACTGGCTGGCTGGCCTGCTAGCTGAGCTGTCTTCAACTAACTTTACCCCTCTTCCTCGCTTACCACCCACAGAGGACAGCTACTATGCTGCTTCTCCAGCCGAGATACTGCGGTGGAGAAATTCAGAGATCGCTGTGGCTGATTCTGATCTGTCCGACACAAGGTTTGACTGCCACAGAGTTACTCCTCATTCACACTGGTGTGACTGAGGGCAGAATCAAGCTGATAAATTTAAAGAAAGAAGCCTTTTAGGAATGAAAGAGACTGGAGATTCTGGAGTGTCGGTTTATTATGTTTCCATAGCACCTCAGATGTGCATGTAACAGAAACGACACTGCAAGAAGCATCTCTTCTAGGGTACCGCAGTAAAGTAGCAGTCCAATCACTTTAGCTTAAAGGAAGAGTGGCTATTACTAATGTTTATGCTCATCATTTCCATCCAGGGGTGAATTTTGTATCCAGGGGCAGAATAATTTTATGTGCACCAAGGTATGTGTGAATGTGCACCACCAGGAGAAAAAACCAAATATCAGTAAAATTGTGATGTAGTTGTGAAAAAGACTAATATCATTCTGGGGGTATTAATAGGCGTGGAACAGGTAGGACACAGGAGGTCGCTGTCCCATTCTATTCAGCTGCAGCACTGGGTCCAATGCTGGCTGTCACACTTTAGGAAATATCTAGACAAATTGTAGAGAGTCCAAGGAAGAGCTGTAACAATGGTCGATGATTAGACAGCTTGACCTATGGGGGAAAGTTAGACTGGCAAGATTTTGTGCAAAAACTTGCCGCCTGTCTACACTGGCCGCGAGTATTTGTGCAAGAACGCTGACTTTGTACTGTACAAAATCAGCGCTTCTTGCGCAAATACTCCAACACTCCCGCTCAGGGATAAGCCCTCTTACACAAGTATTCTTGCGCAAGAGGGCCAGTGTAGACAGCCACGTTCATTTCTTGCGCAAGAAAGCCCGATGGCTAAAATGGCCAGCGGAGCTTTCTTGCACAAGACAGCGTCTACACTGGCACGGATGCTTTTGCACAAAAGCACATCTTTTGCGCAAAGGCACATGCCAGTGTAGACGCTCTCTTGTGCAAATACTTTTAATGGAAAAACTTTTTCGTTAAAAGTATTTGCGCAAAATCATGCCAGTCTAGACGCAGCCTAAGGCTGACTCAAGTCTGGTGCACGTCTGCAAGCAGGCCAGGCCAAAAAGGGAGGGGGAGAGTCAGGAGTGCTTGCCCAAACATGCATTACTTGTAGAGGTCAGCAAGACCAGGCCAGGCTGTGTTTTTTACCAGTGGGCACACACATTGGCCTCTGAGCAAAAGCCACACAGAGGGACTGGCCTTGAAGCAGTCTGGCTTGCTGGGGATATCCCCATGTGCAGAATAATAGGAAGCCCGGTGGAAGCCTCTGATTGAGCTGCAGTAATGGAGTTAGTGTCTCCCCTCCACCCCCGCCAGGACCTACTCAAGCCAGGATGGATTCTCCTCCTTAGGGTGAACCTTGCTGGAGGAGCTCATGAGGTTTGGGCTGTTGGAGCCTAGTGCTTTGGTCAAAGTGGGGAAGGACCGTGTCGCACTTTGAGAGTAACTGCCCCTGTATTTCCTGTCCATGGTGCCTCGAGGGCACACACACGTAAGACTCCCAACCATCCCCTCTCTTTTAAACCCTGTTCTAGTCCTAGCTTTCACAACCTCCTCAGGCAAGGAGTTCCACAGATTGACTATGCGCTGTGTGAAAAAGAACTTCCTTTTATTTGTTTTAAACCTGCTGCCCATTAGTTTCATTTGGTGGCCCCTAGTTCTTGTATTATGGGAACAAGTAAATAACTTTTCCTTATTCACTTTCTCCACACCACTCATGATTGTATAGACCTTTATCATATCCCCCTGCCGTCTCCTCTTTTCCAAGCTGAAAAGTCCCCGTTTTTTTAATCTCTCCTCATACGGGACCTGTTCCAAACCAGTCCTGTTCCAAACCCGACTCAGTCCAGTTCCCTGCACTCGAGCGGTAATAGTGAAACCATTCCTGACATGGGTTTGTCTAGCCCATTCTTAGAAGGCAAGGAGCCGTGCAGCCTTAAAAACCCTGGTCAGGAGGAGGAGAGATTAAAGAAACTGGGACTCTTCAGCTTGGAAAAGAGGAGACTGCAGGGAGATATGATCGAGGTCTATAAAATCATGAGTGGTGTGGAGAAAGTGAATAAGGAAAAGTTATTTACTTGTTCCCATAATACAAGAACTAGGGGCCACCAAATGAAACTAATGGGCAGCAGGTTTAAAACAAATAAAAGGAAGTTCTTCTTCACACAGCGCACAGTTAATCTGTGGAACTCCTTGCCTGAGGAGGTTGTGAAGGCTAGGACTAGAACAGGGTTTAAAAGAGAGGGGATGGTTGGGAGTCTTACGTGTGTGTGCCCTCGAGGCACCATGGACAGGAAATACAGGGGCAGTTACTCTCAAAGTGCGACACGGTCCTTCCCCACTTTGACCAAAGCACTAGGCTCCAACAGCCCAAACCTCATGAGCTCCTCCAGCAAGGTTCACCCTAAGGAGGAGAATCCATCCTGGCTTGAGTAGGTCCTGGCGGGGGTGGAGGGGAGACACTAACTCCATTACTGCAGCTCAATCAGAGGCTTCCACCGGGCTTCCGACAGCTGGAGTTCTAGAACGCCAGTCGGTGAGACAATTTCCACGTGGAAGTCTCTGCCTGGGGCCCCACGGTGCCGTGTACCCAGAAATCTGAAGCTCTGTCTCATGCCCCCGGCCTGAGCCCCATGAGAAAAGACGCCCAGGGACGCAGCCGCTTCTTAGGATACCTTCCGTGTCCATTTCGCACAGCACTTCTATCGGCATCCCTCCGACAGAGGGCATAATGCTGTAGACCCCCGACCTCCGGATCCCGTTGTAGTAAATGGAAGCGCAGTCTATCGGGCAGTTCTTCGCATGCTTCACATCTAAGACAGGAAACAAAGAGACGCATTTTCATAGTTAGGTCAGAGATGGGAGGACGTGTCGGGCTGAGTTGAGAACTCAACCAACAGTTTCGAGTTCCAGACGCAGACCAGAGCTTTAGACTTTTGAAGCAGGAGTTCTGTTTTACTCTGGCAACATTTAAGTTCTGGGATTCGCATTCGTGTCATTTTATGTTATCCCTCTGGCTATCCTAAAAGGTGGGCAAGACTGATTGGCACAGACAAACCTTCTTCCATTGCACAGAGCACAGGGAAGAGAGTTGGAACCAGAACCCTAGATCCACACTCAACCACAATTTCAGGTGCGAATGTGGATGCGAATCAAAATTGTGTGGTTAGGACCTCCCTCTGTGCTGGAAATGGAAACCCTTGAGCCTGGGGCAGGTTGGATTCACAACTGATTCAGGATATAAAATTCATAGCTTAGGTCCCTCTCAAATGGCACAGACCTCCACAAAACTAGAATGGCATGGCCTTGGTTTTTAAATTCAAGTTCCTTTGCTGTTTAAATTAGTGTGGAAATGGTACAAGTTTTGCCAAACCCAAATTTCTTCCAGGCTCTTCCCTTCCAACATTGGAACAGAATGATCTAGCCCTGTTTCCATTTTTCAAAGGTGGCCAGGGATGGATACTTCAGGGAAAGGTGTAAAACCTCCCATAATGCACCTTACATTGCCTGGCTTTGATACTCTCAATTTAAAGATGTGCAGACAAGTGGCCAAACTCTAGCATCCTTACTCGGTCACATCCCCCACCAGAGGTTTGGGGCACGATCTTGCGTGAGAGCCCAGTGTCGATATATCCAAAGAGGGTTTGCCTGAGGAAAGACTGAGTGAAAGTTGAGTAAGATCTTTGGTGTGACCAATTACCACCTGCGCAAATCCCCGGGAGAGCTTAGCCTAGAAAGGAGGAGGAAACAGGAAAGAATGAGAGAGAGATCTCATAATGCCTCACACAAGCAGAGATAACTTCCTCTTATCCACGCTAGACCAGACCAAACCTGAGCTGACCTTAATACCCAGCCAGCTGCATTGCCAAGTCTGTGGGATTGAGGAGATTATAAAGAGCGAATTGCGATTTCCCCCCCGCCCCCCATGAAGGAAGCGGAAGGGATGAGATCACAACTCTGGCAGCCAATGAAAGTAGACTGGGCACTAAACCACCAATTAGAATGCTCATGTGCTTTGAGGTCTTCCATTGGCTGTGGGAAGTGGAGACGGAGTGGGGAATCACCCAATCCATGGCCACTATTTTGGGACCGGTCTCAGAGTTTCCTTGGACTATTTGTGGCCAAGCGAGCTGGCAATGCTGTTAAAGGGAAATCTTATGTAAGGGTATCTCACATGGGAGCCACTCTCTGGATTTGTTGGGTCTAGTTCTGCTGCCCAGTGGGGCTACGTCTGTATTGGCAAGATTTTGCACAAATACTCTTTAATGCAAGAGTTTTTGCATTAGCGTATTTGAGTAAGAGAGGGTCTACACTGGTATGTGCCTTTGCGCAAGAGATGTGCTTTTGCGCAAGAACATCCGTGGAGAAAGCTCCAATGGCCATTTTAGCCATCGGGCTTTCTTGTGCAAGAAATTCATGTTGCCTGTCTACACTGCCCTCTTGCTCAAGAACACTTGCGCAAGAGGGCTTATCCCTGAGCAGGAGTGTCAGAGTATTTGCGCAAGGAGCACTGATTTCACACATAAGAACGTCAGTGTTCTTGCGCAAATACTCGCGGCCAGGGGAGACAGGTGGCAAGATTTTGCGCAAAAGCGGCTCCTTTTGTGCAAAATCTTGCCAATGTAGACGTAGCCTAAGTGTATTACCAGCCACACCAGTTCCCTTTGTTTCCAGAAGGTCATTTACTCCTCCAAAGAGAAATGACTTACATGTACTTGCTGGTTAGAGGAATTGGAGCCAAGCTCCCATAGTACCTGAGGCTGAGAGAACTAGCTTTTTAATACAAGACTGATGGAAAGCAATTAGGCTGGTTGGCTCATTGGATCAGTAACCAACTAATGCGCCTTTCCACCCGACGTCACTGGCTCAAATCAGATTCAGGTTGGTAGGTGAAAGTCATTAACAAATCAGGCCTGTTGCTTAGCGAATGTAGAAGGAGTCATTGGGTTCAACCTGCTTCTTACCAGATAAACATTCACAACCCGCTATCTCACGTTCTTTTCAGTCTTACATCAGAAGCCAAGAACCGATGGCTGAGAAACCAGATCAGCTTGTCCTTCCTGCTTCTAGAACTGAGCCCTCCCAGAGCTGTGGCTAGGAGCTGGTGGAAATGTTATCATCACAATAGCTTTTTGGTGAAAAACGGGTTTTCAAGCAAAATGAACATTTTTTATTTTTGATTGAAATTGTCCACTTTTTCTACCAAAAACAAAAACCGAAAACTTTTGGTTAAAAATGTCAGTTCTTGATTTAACAAACACACCCCAACAACTCAAGTTCTGCTTAAAAAGAAAAGAATTGGGATTTGGTTTTCAAAAAATGGTACCCAAAATGATTCTTGTAAACCAAACACTTTTTTTTTCAATAAAAATGGGACAATTTCAAGACGAGAAAGAGAAATTTTCCATGAAAATGAATTGATCTTTTGGGGACAGCTCTAACTGTGTCACACTTCTTCTGCCACATGATGCATATATATCATCAGCATCAATAGGCCATTGGGCCAACTTTTCAGAGGCTCGGAGAACATGTTGCTCCCGGTGCAGCCCATAGGTTCCACAAGTGCTCAGTAATTCTGACACCCCAAAGGGTCTCAAAATCTAATTGTGAAATGCTTGGCCTAAAACCAGAGTAAACATCCATAAAATGCAATGACGTAATCGAGTCTTATTTTTTACTACAGTTTGACCCTCTCTAGCCCAGCACTCTGGTCTGGCAACATCCCTGGTCTGGCATGATTTTAGTTAGCTGGATGTTCACTTATCACGCCTGTGGCCAAGTTTTGCACAGTCCCATAAAGTTTGTTTACAGCCAGTAGCAATGGCTCTCAGTGGTCTGTGCTGTTCCTTAGCTCAAATTTACCCCAAATGTCTTCTAAGAGCCCAGGCTGTGTCCAGACTCAGGGGTTTTTTCGAAAAAAGTAGCCTTTTTTTCGAAAAAACTTCCCCTGCGTCCAGACTCAAGCCACGGTCTTTCGAAATTAAATCGAAAGAACGCGGCTTTTCTTTCGATGGCGGTAAACCTCATTTCATGAGGAAGAACGCCTTCTTTCGGAAGTTCCTCTTTCGAAAGAAGGCGTTCTTCAATGTAAATAGGGCTTCTTCGAAAGAGAGCATCCAGACTCGCTGGCTGCTTTCTTTCGAAAAAGCAAGCCGCTTTTTCGAAAGTTTAACGTGCAGTCTAGACGCTCTCTTTCGAAAGAGGCTTGCAGTCTAGACATAGCCCCAGTCAGCAGTGGAAGCGGTGGTAATGCTGCTAGACAATATTGACCTTCCATGGTTTGGCAAATTCTCTGGTTCAGGTCCCAAAGGTTCTGGATTAGAGAGGTTCAACAGACCCAGTCTCTGATTGCGCAGAGCACTGCCCAGATATTTAACCAAAGGTGTCTTTGCTTCACAGCGTTCCCCATCGAAATTATTTGGGACTTTCATCCCCCCCTTCATCATAAGGGGACAATTCCCTCTCACGTCTACACTACGATTGGAGGTGTGATTAGGACACATGTAGCCATACCTCAGCCAGCTTTCATTGCTGTAACGAGGGGTATGTCTACACTACACGCTTATTTCAGAATAAGCTATTTCAGAATGATAACTCCCGAAATAACTATTTCGAAATAGCATGTCCACACTATGGGGAAGCCTCAAAATGAGTCCGAGGCAGGCTCCCTTAACGTGGACACGCTATCTCAACTTACAGACCCAGGAAGCACTGGGGAATAATTACTCTGAGGAGGAGCTATTTCAAAATAGCAATTTTGAAGTAGGTGTTATTCCTCGTGAAATGACAGTTAATTATTCTGGAATAAGACGCCTGCTATTTCAAAATAATTTCAAACTAACGGGCTTGCTGTGTGGACAATCACCTTGTTATTTCATAGAATCATACGTCTGGAAGAGACCTCAGGAGTCATCAAGTCCAGCCCCCTGCCCAAGGCAGGACCAACCCAACTAAATCAACCCAGCCAGGGCTTTGTCAAGCCGAGACATAAACACCTCTAGGGATGGAGATTCCACCCCCTCCCTAGGGAACCCATTCCAGTGCTTCCCCACCCTCCTAGTGAATAATGTGAATTATTTCAAAATAATGTTGTAGTGTAGACGTGCCCAATTTCTCTGCTACCAGTTAGGGTACGTCTAGACTACAGGGTTTTGTCGACAGAAGTTTTGTCGACAGATACTGTCGACAAAGCTTCTGTCGACAAAGAGCATCTAGACTACATCCAGTTCTGTCGACAAAGCAAGCCACTTTGTCGACATAACTGTGTGGACGCAAAGGACAGTGTAGATGCAATAATGTCTTCTGTTGACAGAACTCTGTCAACAAAAGGCGTTATTCCTCGTAGAATGAGGTTTGCATACGTCGACAAAACTGCTGAGTTTTGTCGATGTTATGTCGACATAACTCAAAGGCAGTGTGGATGCAGGTATAGTTTTGTCGACAAAAGTCCACTTTTGACGACAAAACCCTGTAGTCTAGACACACCCTTACAGTGAAGTCAATGCTGCTGGCTA